CCTGAGGGAAGAGAAACCACGTTGGGGATGGTATTTCCGTTTTGAGACGTTCTGGCAACTTCATGGGGATTGTAGCACCATTATCCAAGAAGCCTGGGGGCGAGCTGATGCTGTAACTGTGGAAGAAAAGATTAGAAGCTGCAAAGACAACCTACTCCGCTAGAGCAAAGAAACGTTTGGAAACATCAGAATAATAATAATAATAATAATAATAATAATAATAATAATAATAATAATAATAATAATAATAATAATAAGAAGAAGAAGAAGAAGAAGAAGAAGGAAAGTAGAGGCAGCATTAGCAAGCATTGCAAAGAGGAAGAAAAACAAGGGGATTATTCTACAAAGAAAAGTTTTGGAAAGAGAACTAAATGAACTGGTTCACCAGGAAGAGCTAATGTGGAAACAAAGAGCTAGAGAAGATTGGTTAAAAAGAGGAGATCTTAATACGAGTTTTTTCCACAGAAAAGCGACTGAAAGACAGAAGAGAAACATAATTAAAGAGCTCCAGGATTTAGATGGGATATTCTATACAGGTCAAGAGGCAGTTATGAATTGTATGGTAGGGTACCTCGAGAACCTTTTCACATCTGGACTCACTACACAAAGCCATGTGGTGCTAGATGCAGTGGAGACAAAAGTCACTGCAAGCATGAATGAGGAGAAGCTTAAACCTTTTACTGACCTTGAAATCTGAATGCTTTGAAAAAGATGGCTCCGACCAAAGCTCGTGGTGCTGATGGATTACCGGTCTTATTATTTCAGAGGAATTGGCAAACTGTAGGCCCTGCAGTAATAGCAGAATTGCTAAAAATATTAGAGGCAGGGGAAATGCCAGCAGGGCTCAATCATACTCTTTTAGCAATGATTCACAAAACAAAGAAGCCTTCAAGCCCCAAAGAATTCAGACCTATCAGTCTATCTAAGGTGATGTACAAGATTCTCTCCAAGTTGCTTGCAAATCGTTTAAAATTAGTCCTGAATTCAATCATAACTAAAACTTAGAGTGCTTTTGTACAGAGTAGAATCATTTCAGACAACATTATGGTGGCTTTTGAATGTTTCTTTGCTATGAAGAACAGAAAAGAAGGAAATAAAGGACATGTTGCTGCAAAATTGGATATTGCTAAGGCCTATGACCGTGTGGAATGGAATTTCCTTGAGGCCATGATGCTTAAACTGGGGTTTGAAACAAAGTGGGTGAATCTGATCATGAACTGTGTCAAAACTGTTTCTTGCTCAGTTCTAGTGAATGGCCATCAATCGGAGACTATCTACCCTACCAGAGGAATTCGCCAAGGAGACCCCATCTCACCATATTTATTCCTCCTATGTGCTGAAGGTTTATCAGCTTTGACAAAACAAGCTGTGGACAGAGGGGAGATACATGGAATTAAAGTGTGCAGAAATGGCCCTGAGTTAACCCATTTGTTTTTTGCAGATGATAGTATTTTCTTTTTTGGAAATACTAAGCAAGAAGCAGAGAAACTAAAGCAAATACTGGAGAACTATGAGTTGGAATCAGGACAACAAGTGAGCTTGGAGAAATCTGAGTTATCTTTTAGTACAAACATCCACGAAGAATAGAGAAATGAATTGGCCACGGTACCGGGGATGAAACAAGTAATACACCATGAAAAGTATTTGGGACTCCCTACTGTCATTGGCAGATTGAAAAAGGCAGTTTTCAGCCAGTTAATTGATAAAGTGAGGAAGAAAGTAAAGACTTGGAAGAGCAAAGTCATGTCAGCAGCAGCAAAGGAGGTTCTAATTAAAGCGTTGGCTCAAGCTCAAACTCTCTATGCCATGTCTGTCTTCTTAATATCCCAGGGAGTCATCGATGAAATAAAAAGTCTTATTGCTGGTTTTTGGTGGGGAAGGATGCAAGAGGAAAAGAGGATCCATTGGATGAGCTGGGGAAAGTTATGCAGGCCAAAGAATGAGGGTGGAATGGGATTCATGGATCTACACGCTTTTAATCTAGCACTTCTAGGACGACAGGTATGGAATCTACACAAAAATCCTACCTCCCTAGTGGCTAGAGTCATGAAGGCAAAGTATTACCCCTACGGAAACTAGAAGCTGGAAGAGCAACTTTCTTCAAAGCTGTTTTGTACTAGAAGATAGGGAAAACATTCAACAAATACCAATCCCAACCCATCCCAGACCAGACACAGATTTGGGAGAAGGAAAGGTCAGGGAAATACTCAGTCAGATCGGCGTACTATCTCGGTATGGATAGTAAATCAGAAGATGAGGGCGAGAGGTATGTGTAGACACCACTTTTTGTCCGGGGTAAAACATATTTAACTAAATAAAATTTAATTTTTCTTTGGGAATTGCAATAGAAAATTTCTAGCTAAAACGAATTGTAGTGCTTGGGTTGGGTCTTGTCTGCCATAAGTCAATTGGATTAGCAATAGCCAATCTCGATTGACACAATTTATTAGCGACGAATTGATGTGTTTAGATGAATTAGGCTTAAGGTCGATGTTGGGTGTCACGCGAGTTAATTGATTCTTCACACATTCTTGTCAGAATTGGATCGCAATTTCAAAATAATAAAATGTTGGTCATAACAATCTTATTAAAATAAATACAATGCTAAACAAATAAAATTTTGATTACAATGCATAATATTTGTAATTAATTACACTGCTAATTGCTATTACACAACACCAATTACAATTCAATAGAATTTCAGCCCACAGCCTAAGCCCAATTTAGAAGCCAAGCTCAAGTTGAAGCCCACGCCCAGGTCAACTCACAGTCAAAACCCCAAGCCCATAAGCCAAGCCCAACCAGACTCGAACCAAGCCCAATTTGGCCGAACCAGATTGGTCGAACCGGAACAGGCCCAGCCCACTCAACTACCAATTAGAAAAGTCCACCAACTTAGTCTCAATGCCAATCAGATTTCAACACAAATTTGCCTAAAAACAAATCAAATTACAACATAAAATAAGCTACAATAGGTTATTTTACTATAAAAGGAAGTTTTGGCTAAACAAACAGGGGGGACTTCTTCTGCTGTTGTTCTTCTTCTTCCTCCCCACGAATGAAAGAGCTTCTTCTCTTCTCTTCCACTTCCCAATTTCTTTCTTATGAGACTTCCTTTTTCCTTCTTCAATATACAGACAACAAAAATTTCCCTCCCCTCCCCTTCACTGCTACTCCTCCTGTTTCTTCTTCATAGACACAAACAAACGACAACAACACACACAGTCATAAGTATCAAAAAGCAGCACCCAAAGGAGGCAACAACCATATCTTCTCCCTTTCTTACACAAACAGACACTCAAAACAAGGAATCAGAAGCAGACAACAAGAAAAATCCCATTCCCACTCGGTTGTCTTCCTCTTAAACACACCAAAGAACACAAAAACAAAAGAACAAACACGTACAAAAAAAAAACTAAAAAGGAAAGGAGGAGCAAAAGGTAGTAGCAACCAGCAAAGCTCCCAAAAGCTAGGGGAAGTGGCAGTAGCCATCCCCTTCACCAAAGGGCAAGCAAAAGGTTGGTTAACCACAAATAACCCAACAACTGATTATTAATTTGTTTAGTTCATGTCGACTCATAATTAAAGTTTACCAAAATCCAAAACCCACCTCTAAGCTCAAGCAACGCCATTCAAATTACAAAACGGCTAATCTCACCATGATAGCAAAATAAATCAACAAATCGAGTTTACCGCTTTCTTTATAAGTTCATCATATTCCTTTCTAGTCTATCAGCTTTTGTCATTCATTTCAGTATATCTATTAAAATATTTCCATGATTGAGCATATCCACAAGTAAAAGCTAGATGTTTCCTTTCTGTATTTTGTGTCAGTCGCTTTGATTAGTATATCCAATCTCAAACATGCCTATATAACTAATATAATGAGCTACAATAAAAGCTAGTTCTGTTTTCTCTGCTATATTTTGTATTTTACTTAGGAGATAGGACACCCATCTTATGTAATATTAAACCACCCCAAAGTAACTAGCTACCGCAAAACAGATCTGATAAACACCATAAACCCTCCAAATCTCGAAGCCAAAGCTACAAAACGTGATTTCCCATAATCGAAGTCACCTTGAGCATGCACTTTTTTCTAACTCTAAAACCCCAGCAATCACTATAAGTTCTCAGTTTTAAACCCATAAAACATCAATAATTTTCAGCCATAATCCGTAACATATGAATTTCGATACACAACCCACATTCGTAACACTATCGATTTATCAAAACTAACCAGAATCAGTCATCCCATATTATTCAATGGGAACGGATCAGGTTAGTAACCTTATGGCGAGTAACCATGAGTAACTCGTCCACATCAGCATCCCTCTATCTCCTGGAAAGCCTTTAATTTTCCCCTTCTTAATCTTTGACGGACGATTTCTCACTCGTTTTAAATCAAAATTTAATTTTTTTTTGCACAGTTAGATCAGATTAATTATGCTCTTCAAAATGATATCCACTTTGATATATTTTTCAAACAAAAAAAAATTGAGCCATTTTTTACCAGTCTATACCATTTGGTATTGACTAGTATTGAAATAAGAGCATACCTATGGTTTGAAAAGCGTACCATGGTGGTATGTACAAACCAAGACTGTAGGATGGTTGGATACATGATAGTAGAAGTGTATTAACTGCCATTTACGACTTTTAACATTGTGTACCACAAGATACCACCCCGTACCAGGGTGGTATTGTATGGTATTGTGTGGTATTTTTTGGTCTTGTAATTTGTTCACCCAGAAATTTGTAGATCCAATAGATCATGATGAACTTGTCCCTTCTGTGCAAACGTTTTCAAAAACGAATTAAAAACGAAGAAAATACCATATGGTATGCAGTTGGTACTGAGAGGCCAGAATTTTTTCCTCAATAAATATTAAAAATTGATCTCATTTTGTAGAGCATGATGAACTCGTTCCGTCTGTGAAAAAAATTAAAATCCGAGTTAAAACGAAAAATATATGAACCAATTAAGAAAGTTAGGGAAAATAAAAAATGGTCTTTAATTCTCCATCCTTATATCTGAATTTTCTAAATGAAGGGTCCATATTCGGTTATTGATGGGTACATAACCCATGGTTATGCACCCTATCTTGAGCCTTATTCAATCAAGGTAAAACCAAAAGGATCAACAAACCCCCTACTCTAGTCTAAACCACGAAAAACTTACCAAAAGAAGGGATTTATCTCCCTGTCGGCATTATTCGCGTCGCCAGCAGTATTCAGGACTGCCGGTGGCGGCTCCCCTTCTTCTCCCTTCCATCGATTCCTACCCTGTTCCCTATCATGATCAGAAATACCCAAAATCAAAGCAATCAAAACCCAGACAGTATAAAAAATCCAGAATCGAAACAAAAACTAAATTTAACTCACCTACCCATCGTGTCAGTCGTTGCGGTTTCACCGGAGCTCGCCGACGACTCTTCTTCTTCTCCCTCAGCTTTTCTTCCCGATACCAATACCGCCGAGCTCATCGCCATCGAGAATTTTTTTTCTTCTTTCCGCTTGATCGAACCCAAAATAGAAACCCACAAAAAAACCCAGAAATCCGAAGAGAAACATACATCAGGCACTCGCTAAAAGTCAAAATCCAACCAAAATCGAGGAAAATCCTAAGAAAATCGACATGCAAGGCAAGAAATTTTACCTGAAATTCAATCTCCATCATCGTCAACGATGGCCAGCGGGGATTGGCTCGGTCTTTGCCGTTCCGTCGCCTTCTTTCTTTCCTTTACCTCTCGTCATTTCTAGAATAAGAAAGAATGAGTAGAGAAAGTTGAATGGTAGAATCGAGAAAGTTAGAAAAATCGAGAAGAGAGGAGAGAACAAAACAGAGGGAGAGTGAGAGGAGAGGATTGAGCGGCTAAGAAATGTGAGGACGGCCGCTAGGGTTTTGTTCCAATTCGTTTGTGTGTTCCCTTTTGGAAATGACCCATTTGTCCATTTTGAAAAACAAAAATCACAAAAAATCTTGCAAGGTGCTTCGTACAATCAACCTCATCCTCACATTTCATCAAACCCGACCACTAGGCTGGTCGCCTGGCGCTTGCAATCTTAACGATCTCTCTGGATTTTAACTCTTCAACATTCTTAATACGTAAAATCTAAACGTGATCGACTCTTTAGCTTAGGATTAATTCAATTACTCCTACACCCAAAGGGTATCTATCATTCAATCATTGTGAGATTGTTGATTTTTGCTATGTCAAAATACATATTTTTCCTAAACAACTCTTATAAAAAACCGTGGTCAATAGACCACAATAACCGTTCACGGTGAAACCCTTTCAAAAGGTCATTTATCACTCAATCTCTAAATTGAAACATTATAAATACACTTCCTAGAAACTCAAATTACCTTCTTAATCACGATCAATGTAACGTGTTAAGATCACATTTTAAAACCTCTCAATTTAATCGAACTACGTGGACTTTGATCCCGATTACTCGGTTACGTAGGCAACCAGTAGGTTCGAGTCCAACTAATTATAAAACTCTTTCTTTACCTTTCGAGATTTACGTCAATAGTCGTAATGATCAAATCGTATATTAATAAATATCAAATTAAATCAAATCATATAATTAAATACATCAATAAAGTCGCAAATTATTATACACCCAACCCTTAAAAACTTATCGATTTAAGTAGTACCCATTTGGTGCGTCGTGGGGGCGTGAATACACTTCCCCGCATGTAATCGTACTCCCGAACCCATAAACTCTAAATTTCGCATACCAAAAGGTGTTCGATCCACCACAAACTAAGGTGGATGGCGACTCTGATCAAATCGCGACGGGTCCCCCGTTTCAGAGATGCGGTTGCGACAGTATGTCCCAATCAATTGGAAACAACTTTGGCAACTAAACCTACCACCTAAAGTTTGGGTCTTCATATGGAGATGGGGAAGCAATATCTTGCCTACTGGTGCAAACTTAACAAGAAGAATTAAGGATGTTGATGATGGATGCTCTTTCTGTGGCCTTGTTGAAACTCAAGAGCACATTTCATGTGATTGTGACTAGGCAGGAAGGGTTTGGAGGCCTAGTTCTATCAGCAGATTTTTCAGTTGGGTATTGGATAAGAATTGTGAGGAGTGGCTCCGTGAAGTTATGGAAAAGGCGGCTGAAGAGGAATTGTGAGGATTTTTTATGGCACTATGGTTCTTATGGAAGGAGCGAAATAATAATCTCTTTAATAATCACAAACTTGAAGAATGGGAAATCATTGCTAGATCAGAGAATCTCCTTGAGGAATTTCGGGCAGTTCAATCCAAAGGAAATATGAGTCAAGGGCCAAAGAAAGTTTATAAATGGGAGAAACCGATGGAAGGTACTTACAAGGTTAACGTTGATGCTGATGTTCTTGCTGATGGAGGAACTGGTTATGGACTGATTATCCGGGATAGAGGAGGAACTTTCCACATGGCTGCGGTCTCCCGAACTCAAACCTCCTGGACACCAGAAATCGCAGAGGCCCAGGCCATGCTTTGGGTGATGTGTCTTGCCCTTAATCATGGATTCCGCCCGCTCTTGATGGTATAGGATTGAAAACCCCTAATTGATAAATTGCTGAGGAATGATGATACAGAAATGGAGATCAATACCTTTTGCAGAGAGATCAGAATGCTGGCGGAAGAGACGGGAGAAGTGAAATGGCGTTTCTTGGGACGAGAAGCAAATGAATCTGCTCACCAAATGGCACGTGTACGATGTCGTATGGAGGAGACAGAAGTGAGGTAGGAAAGACCCCATTTTTATTTTTACCCAGTTAAAACAGGACTGTAAATACACCATCGCTTTATAATTTTGAAATTCCATATGAGTTTTCAACAAAAAAACATCTTAATCCACATTTAACTAATGTAGGAATGGAGTTTTACTTGACTAATTAGGATTTGCTTTCATCTAGTCATACTATATAAAATAATCCACGTCTGGTAGTTATCAAACACTTATGGAATATAATTTATTAATATATTATTTTTTCAAATAAATAAGAACCAGTAAGTTAGTTAGATTAAAAGTTAATAATTATATTTAGTTAGATTAAACGTTAATAATTATATTATTAAGTTAAATATATATGATCACAGTTGAACAAATCTAACCCAAGATTACCGATAACAAAAGGAAGGGTTCGACTTTGACCAATTAGTATTCGGCTTAATTAGGGTTTGACTAAAGTTGAGCCTATCTAACAAAAGTTGATGGATAATGAAAAGAAGAACCAACTCGACTCAATCAGAGCAATAGGGTAGCTCATTTGGTGGCCCGAAATACCCTTTCTTTGAATCCGACTACGAGTCGTTTCTTTGATTTCCAGGCCTGGCTGAATTCGAGGATGTAACTATCTTTTGTTCAATCAATAGATGATTATCTTTTGTAAAAAAAAAAAAGACTCAATCAGAGCATCGATGACCATACAACATCTCTTCTCGCTCTTACACCTTGTACTCCTCCCAAATCCTAAACCCTCATTTCCACAAATAGTTACCTTCAATCTCGATCCATCAAAATCCTACTACGACATTATCTTAGAGGCAAAATTGTCTCTGCCTCTTCTAACAACAATCGTTCGCATCGTCGAAATATACGTGATAGGCTCTAGAAACTCTTTGTTACGACCCTTAGAGGCCCCAAAACCTTGATGAAAGTTTTGGCACTATTCATCATTTTTTGTTTAGGATATCCAATCGAGAAACAATCAATTCCACTCATTCATATTCACATTTTAAGCAATCGATGATGGTTTCAATAATTTTTCATGTCGGTAGCTCAAGTAATTGCAAAAAGATGCTTTCCCCTAATTAACTCCTTAATTTTTATTTATATTTTTTGGTAATTGCCACTAAAGGATTCCTCTTTTTGCCGCTTCTTTTACTTTTTTTGCAATTAAATAATGGTTTTTTAGGTTAAGTATTTAATAAATTGTAAATGAGACCGTTGTTCGGACGATGCCGGAGGGAGATGAAGCCCCCGACATTGGAGTTCGGTCGCAAATGACTTCCTACAGTCCCTACATTTCCACAATTAACTGAAGTGTAATTGTATTTCTCTAACTTAATCAGTGTGTGCGGGTGGAAAGTGAGCCAAATTTTGGCAAACCTCACACCTTACTGTTGGGCCGCATAGTTGAGCGTACTTGGGCCTCGGGCCCAAGAGAGGCGAGTCGGCGTTTAGGGCCCAATAAGGAGGGCGGGCCCGATCGAAAGACCGGGTCAGCGGCCGGTCCATGATCGACTGCGAACCCGAGGAATAGATAAGGGCGCCTGACATAAAGCAACTGAGCAGCACAGAAGGGCAGAGAGCCGTTGAAGATGCGTATCTGGTGTCAGGCAAGACTGAGCATTTATTGCCGGCCACAGGCGGCCTGCAGAAAGGCTGAAAGCCTGCCCAGGACGCCTGACATGACCCAAAAAGCCTGCACGGGACGCCCGACATAGCATTTAATGCCCCAACCACCCTCAAACCAGGTATAAATAGAGGGTGAGTGCATTAATGGAAAGGCCAACTACTATTCATCTCTCTACATAAATTCTTATCTCTCCCCTTCTCTCTCTAACTTAAGCTTCGGAGGGTGTCTCGGGCGAACCGCCCCGGACCGTTGTTTTGGAGAGTATCAGGAGTACTCCCCAACATCCAAGAACAGGCGCCTCGCCCCAGCTCCACAAACCGCCTAGTATCTACTAGGCACAAATAATTAGGCGCCCACCGTGGGGCCGGAGCGGAGCGTTTGAATCAAAAGATGGAGGGGAACTTCAGAACTCCAGTGAAGGACGTCATCGCCGGAGAAAGCATCAGAGGTTTGGAAATGCCGACGGTCGAAGAAGAAAAAGATATGGAAGAGCGTGTGAGAGACCAGGGGCAACAGATCACCAGTATGCAAGAGAGTTTGAGCCAGATTCTCACCATGCTCAAAACAAGAGACGAGCCCGAAAGTTCTAAGATGCGAGGTGGCAAGGGCAAGGGCACGGACGGAGAGATGCCTCCCAGTCCCCTTCGCACAGAAGACGGAGAATCCGACAGAGAGGAAGACACTGACGGCGTCCACCTTGACCTCCTCGAAGAACACTTGCGACCTTGCTACGGGAAGCCCAAGGGCTACAACGTGCTGCACAACCCTTTGGCGAAGAGCCTCTTCAAAACCCAGGTGCCATCAAACTTCTCGTCGCTCAGCCTCCCGACCTACACGGGAAACTCAGATCCGTCGGATCACTTGAGCGCCTTCATGCTCAAGATGCAGCTGATTAACGCCTCAGACGCTGATCTGTGCAAGGCGTTTCCAGTCACCTTCGGGGGGCAGTGCCGAAGCTGGTACGCGTCCCTACCAGCCGGGATAATCGAGAACTTCGAACAGTTCGCCACCCTTTTCTCTTTGAAGTTCGCTTCTCAGCGCAGGAGGCAGCTCACGGTCTCCGCCCTCATCAACTGCAAACAAGGAGAAGAGGAAACCTTGGCCGACTTCTATGACCGATGGAATACAATAGCTTGCAAGGTCCAAGACGTCTCAACCAGCGTGGCCGCCGGGAACCTAAGAATGTCGACGCATAGCCGGGAGATAAAGAGGTCTCTCATCAAAAAGGAACACAACATCAAGTCTTGGCAAGATCTAGACCGCGTGGTACGAAAGGCCATCTTCTTGGAAGAAGCGCTCAACGCCGAAGAAGGCGC